CCGCTCGATGCCTTCTCTGACTCAGGTTTCCTCGCTTGCCACTGGCATCCACACAGAGCTACGTGTCTCCTGGGGCGTCTCGGAGTTAGCCTTTCGAGTCCGTGTATATGCAATCTCCGATGAGCTCGCCACTACGGAGCTTTGCCAACGTACAGTACGTTTTTCGCCTTCAAACGTTCTTCGCGCTCGATGCTTATATTATGACAGAGTTCTTGCTCTACATACAGCTCCTTGTGTGGTATGCTGCCGCTGTTGCTTCCGCTGTGAGGACTATCGAGGCGGCTTGAGAGGCGCAGCAGCTAATCGGTGTGAATGCCGTACAGGACCTTGCATGCAACCTGATCCCATTTCAAAAATTAGAGACCGGATCTACTAGGCTTGCATGACCAATGGTGGCCTCGACTGCGCAAGAGAACGATGTCGCTATGTCCGCTCGGAGACCGCGAATGGCGGGATGGCGTTTATAGTGTGCTCACTCATCACCAAATACGTCCTCCATGTCCTCTCAATGAAGCGCTGAATGTACTACAAAAGGGCGGGTGATTTCTCTGTACCTCGTCGACACAATCTTGCTGAGCGGATCCCACTGCCATGCTTCGCCTCGACTGGACGCTAGTCGTACTGGGAGCTGCCGCGACGGCAGTGTCCGCACTTCCTACTGCCAACCCACCATCTGTCGTGCTCGATGACGCGATAGTCATCGGTACTACAAACGGGGCCGTCTCACAGTACCTTGGCATCCCGTACGCTCAACCTCCGTAAGCCGAATTCTTCCCAGCTGCCTATGTACCAAAGGTCATGCTCATGTAACGTCGTAGTATTGGGAACCTGAGGCTTCGTCTGCCCCAGCCCGTCAAGCCTTACACTGGCGTGGTCAATGCCACCACGTTCGGAAATCAGTGCATACAGCAGGACTTCGTCCTCCCACCATTCCCAGACGACGTTCCAGAGGCTGCACAGCAATACCTGGAGGACTTCATCGCCATACCCGACGTGCCTCAGAGCGAAGATTGTGCGTGTGTGCCCTTCGATTATATCCTGTTCAAATACTCACATCTGCTTTGCTCAGGCCTCAACCTGAATGTGATTGCTCCTGCAGACGCGACGCCAGAATCGAAGTTGCCGGTACTCGTGGTGCGTTATACGCAGGTTCATCATCTGCTGTTACTCATATTTTGCTGCCGCTAGTGGATCTATGGAGGTCAGCCACGTTTTCAAAATACTGAGATTGGATGTGATTACTCACGTAATATGCAGGCGGCTTTCAACATGGTTCAAATGCGATGTGAGCATGCACTACAGCTGGACGGTCCACATAAACTCCCTCTGAACTTGCTTTTAGGGAACCTGGCGAGGCTGTAGTTGCACGGTCTCTTGAAATAGAGCATCCTGTCGTTTATGTTGCAATGAACTATCGGTAAGCACATATGAGTCCCATTCATACGGTCACCCCACGACACTTTCTGATACTGAACCTGACTTGTTAGGCTGAGTGGTGAGCAGATTATTGATCAGCAGAGCAGCGAGAGCTGATCGATATATAGCTTTCGGCTTTCTGGGTGGCAAAGAAGTCAAGGAAGCGGGAGTGGGAAATCTTGGTCTGCAAGATCGTACGTTGAACTTGTCCAATCTGCGATGACAAACACGCAACTTACACCTGATTAGAGCGGGAGGCGTTCAGATGGGTTCAGAAGTATATCTCCGCGTTTGGAGGAGACCCGAGCAAGGTCACCATGTACGTATCTAAATTGACGGTTGAGGAGGTCCATTGTGCTGATATTCAATGTTGACAGCTGGGGAGAGAGTGCCGGCGCCATCTCGGTATCTCTGCACATGCTGACCAACGGAGGAAACACCGAGGGCCTCTTTCGCGCAGGCTTCATGGAGTCGGGAGCCCCAGGCCCGTATGGTGATATCCTAGAGCTTCAAGGAACCTATGACCAGATTGTCGCCGACTCGGGCTGTGCGAGTGCAAATAACACTCTACAATGTCTGCGGGCGGTCCCTGCAGACGTACTCAAGGCCGCGATGGACAAAACGCCCTCCTTTGTCAACTATGTGGTACGTACTACGATGTGGGGCGGAGTGATAGATGAGCTCACTACATGTATAGCAAGTAAATACGCCTTGGAACGCGCATGCGGATGGAGTGTTTGTGACAGAGCCTCCACAGCATCTCCTTCTGCAAGGCAATGCAGCCAAGATACCGATCGTCGTCGGTGCGTCTCACGAAAACAGACTTTCGTCGATCAAGTTGGACTGAGGTCCTGCGTGTTTAAGGCAACGACGAGGACGAAGGAAGCGCATTTGCCTTTCCATCTCTCAATGTGACGTATGTGCAATCCGCGAAGCCTGTCGACTTACCGATTCTGACGACCGTTCGCAGTACCGACGCCGAGTTCTTCGACTATGTGTCGTCCAACTTCTATCCCAGGGCGACGAATGCAGAGATCGCTCAGATCCTCGACTTGTACCCCGCTGACCCCGCGGACGGTTCGCCCTTCGAAACGGGAGATCTGTTTGCGTATTCGCCGCAGTACAAACGCATCTCGGCATTCCAAGGGGATTGGATCGAGCAAGCTCCCCGACGGCTTTTGACCAAGGTGCTTTCCCCAAAGCAACCAGTGTACGCGTTCTGTGAGTATGACCTCCAACGAGCAAAGTGACAGGTGCTGATGTCGCGTCGCAGTGAACATGGGCGGGAGAATCAACGGCCTGGGAGCGGTGAGTGACATGCTATGCCTTCCTGCATCACGAGACTCTGACATCTACATCCATTGCAGCCGCACGGTTCCGAGTTGGCCAACGTATATGGCGGTGGAGATATGGCGGACTATTTGATCCGTTTTGCGACAAATCTCGACCCGAACGGCGACGGCGCGGTTGACTGGCCACGGTACTCTAACGATCACCCACAACTTTTGACATTTCAGGATGGTGCTGTTCCTTTGACACTGTCTTCGGCCACGTACCGATTTGCTGGTATGGAATTCCTCACTAACCTGAGTCTTATATATCCCGCCTGATAGAGATGGTGTCATGTAATCCGCGAGTTGTTAGTGAACGGCTTTTGAAGTCTTTCTGTCAGTATCGGCTGGCTTGGGCGCTCGTTTGTGGACATGCCGGAATGGGCGACCGTGGATGTTCTTCCTCCTCCCGTGGACGTCGCGCGCTTGCGATCACCCCAGCTACTACTCCCGCCCAGACCAATCTCGTACATGCAAACCTTGAGCATGTTCGGGCTGTGTGGTGCATCGATCTGAGGCACCGAACGACTCCTATTTCTGTCTAGCCGGGCCGTCTTTGATCAGGTGGTAGACAATCGCGGTCCGAGAAACAACACTTACGCGCATCACCGCGTTCAGGAACCTTCAAGAGAGCATGAAGTCGCTCCCAGTAGTCTGGCGACGCGTCCAAACCGGCGGGTCATCGCGGGGATATAACTCGCAGACGGTGCTCCGTAGAGCGTCCCGTAGAGCGTCGCATCGCCCTGACCTCCTCGCTCACGCAGCCTATCCGTGCCCTTCCTCGTTTCCGTGGATCCATCGTACCTCACGCCATGGCCGTCGATATACCCCAGTTCACGCTCAACACTGGTTACAAGATCCCTTCAGTCGGAATCGGGTGAGTATCGACAGAGCACCTGTTGGTGACTGGTTCTGCGTAGGCGACTCGGAGGTGGCGTCGTTCGAAGAGTCTGAAATCTGATCAATGCCCTCAGATGCTGGATGGGTTCTCCAGGAGGCGGAGAGATTGCCGAACAAATGTGCAAGACCGCACTGCAGGTAAGCGGTGCTTTAGTGGTTGTAGCTGCTCCGATGACAACTGACATGCTCTCTGACCAGGTGGGCTATAGGCACATTGATACGGTAAGTAGTGCCAGGCGAAACAGTGAATGCGTGTCGGGTCTCATGTCACTCAACAGGCATACGGCTACGGAAACGAGGAGTTCGTTGGCAAGGCCATCCGCGAGTCCGGAGTGCCTCGCGAAGAGATCTTCCTCACTACGAAGCTTCCTAACCATCACCACCACAAGGTGAAGCAGTCGTTCGAGGAATCACTTAGCAAACTGGGCGTCGACTACGTCGATTTGTACTTGATGCACTGGCCTCAGGCCTTTACCGAGGATAACAAGCCTATCCCTCACGACCAGAGCCCAACCTTCGTTGAGACCTGGAAGGACATGGAGGCTCTGCTCGACACCGGCAAAGTTCGGTCTATCGGCGTCTCAAACTTTTCGATCAAGCTACTGGAAGTCCTTCTTCGTGAAACCGATGTCGTCCCTGCAACAAACCAGGTCGAATGCCACCCGTGTCTACCCTCTGTTGACCTCAAGCTCTGGTGCGAGCAAAGGGGTATCCTAATCACCGCCTATTCACCTCTAGGTATGTTTATGCACGCCAAGCACGGAAAGTGCTGGGGCTGACTAGTTCATACCAGGCCGCCCGGGCGAATTTGATGGCAAGCCCGTCTTCTTGGACGATCCGGACGTGACGAGCATTGCGAAGAAGTACAATGCTTCCCCGGCACAAGTCGCTCTCAGCTGGGGAGTAAAACGCGGCACAATTGTGATACCTAAGAGCCAAAATCCAGACCGCATCAAGCAGAATATCACGGTATGTGATGAACCTGGGCGTGGTGCAGGAAGGGGGCTGACTGTGTGGGCTTTCTTCTGGCCGCTCGTTTGCTACCAGTTGCTTGACCTCACAGACGAGGACATGGCTGCACTCAACGAAATCCACCTGAAGCCTGGAATGCATCGCTCACTGCTCCGATACCACGAGTACAGCGGAGACGGTACGATCTTCGGGTGGACTTACGACCAACTGGGCTGGAACATGACGAAGGGAGGGATTGTATGCTCGTTGGATTGATAGTGTTGAATGCATGAGGCAGGGCTGGAATTACGTATGTAAAACAACATCCCACAATGACCATTACGATCGTTGTGCATGGCCCAGCTTCGTCGAATAGAAGAGTAGGAAAAAAGAGTAGAGGGTAGGTCCTGCCAGGGTTCGAACCTGGGTTATGGGAAGATCCACGACCCACCAGTCGACCGGGTTGAGGGGCCGGCCAGCGAATCGCGTTCAAAATCCCAAGTGATAAACCACTACACTACAGGACCTTGACGCCCCACCATTGCAGTACAAACACGGCCATCCACGAACCATAGAAACTGCAAGCAGTACGGAATCAGACATCTCGTCTGTACCTTCGCCACTCATTCCCAAACAGACTCTCCATTCTAGCGTCCTCCACGTCACATCGTCTGAATAGGTAGGCGAGGCAGACGAGTATACCAACTCGCCACGCCCATGCGAGGCCGCGGATGGCGGGAACGATCTCGACGCCGCATTCGGTGACATATCCGCCCGCACCAAAGTGAATCGCATGCGCTCCAATCAGGGTAAGGACGAGGCCGAGGTAAGATGGGTGGCGGACGTGAGCAGAGGATCCAGTCGTGATCCATGCTTCTTCGCCCGCTGGGAGGACGTCTCCGCGAAGGGCGCCGCTGAAGGTTCGATGCGACCAAAGGCGAAAAGCTGCTCCAAACATCACGAGAACTGTGCCGAGGACAAACTTGGGTGATATCGGCACAAGGCTATAGAGGCGCAGCGTAGGGCTAGGACAAAAGAATGACGGATCGAGGTACGACCATAGCCGTGGGGCGTCCACGAGCAAGAGGGCATGGCAGAGTGAGGACGCGATGACCATTCCCTGGAGTTTAACAGATATGAGGGTCTTACAGTAGCAGAACGGGCAGAAGGGGGTGGACGTACACAGCTAGCGTAGGCTAGAAACAGCACCATGAAGTGCGACATCTGGTCTATGTGTGTTCCCTTTGCCGTCGCGCGAGGCAGTGGAATCCCGATGGCGGAAGAGAACAGCCCGGCTGAGGAAATGAGCGCGAAGATCTTAAGGAGCGACATTGGGGAACGAGTTGTAATGAACGCCTTTTTTCCCCATCCTCACCCTATATTATAGCCGAGTATGCGGCGTAACTTCGACGCTACATATCTATGGGCCCTGTCGCCTTCAGTCACGATGGGCGACATGCACGCAACTCGCAGGCCAGTATACGGGAAAGCGGATGGGCGTGACGCCAGAGCAGTCACTTTTTGGTACGCACGAATGAAAGGATCACCGCGGACGAGCAGGCAGTCCCACTACAAATGCCGTCCGGTGTCATGGCCACCTGGGTATATTTTTGTAATATGGAAGCATTTGTTGATGTACATCCAGCGTTGAACGTTGACTGCGCGGGGAAGGGACGTTTGTATGCAACGACAGGCCTGTAGATGAATCCTGTCAGTTATCTCGACCGAAACATGGCTACCAATAGCCTGTGGCGGACATCATGCATGCATCTGCACCCATCCAGTGAAGAGCTGACGACACGTACGTTGACGAGCGACAAGGTGCTCAGTGACCTTGAAACATATGTTAAAAGGCCGCGGATGGCTGCCGAGCTCTACAAGCAATTACTCCGGAATTCGAAAGCTACCGTAGATTTACATGTCCGTATAATGATAGACTAGCAAGCAAATATCCACCTTTGGAAGTACCGTATTCAATAGCCTGAAGGTCGTGCACCTGTCTTGGACGTGTCGTACGCCCGAATCAATCGAGCCTGGTCCTGGCGAGCGGCGTTCTCCGTTTGACTGAACGCAAAGCCGCGGTTGCGACGCATACGCTGCACCGCGCGGACTTTCTTGATCGCCTTCTGGAACCTAAACGAAAAGGTGAATCCAGGTCGCATGAGTGCTAGGGAATGACAGGACGTACTGTTCTTGTCGGGGGCGATAGTCCGGAATGTTGTACTTCTGAATCTCCTGCGCGATGTGGTATGTCTCCGGCATGTACGTTCTTCGGTAGCTGCAAGAATACATATGTTTTGGTCAGTTGCTTCACAGTGCAGCAAAGCACCTATACGCACTACTTCCAAACAAAGTCGCGAGTCAGGCAGACAATCGGCACCAGCAGAAGGACGAAGTAGAAGACGGCATCAGTCCACAAACGAGGGACAATCCCTCGATACTCCGTCGAGAAACCGATGGCGGGCGCGACGACCGCATACAGCGGCAAGAAGAGCATTGTGAAGACGAAGGAGCCGGGGATTGCTGAAATGCAAGTTGGCACTTGACGGATGCCAAAGGATAGAACTGAGACGTACCTGCTACAGTGTATTTCGTCCACAAACTACAAGTCAAGGTGATTAGTAACGCATTGCACGCATGTTTGGTGGCAGACGTACTCCGAGATCAAGGCGGCCTTGCCGAGAACTGTGAGCAAAACAGCAAGATACAGCGTTGTACCCCAGAACCAATGGCCCGAGTCGAATCCTGTCGCTTGCTTGAGGTCTCCCCAGAAGAGAATCACGGAGAAACCGAACAGGATCTGCAGCGATAGTTCATTCACTGACAATTGCTTGTGGTAGACGATTGCACTTACGAGACTATGATAGAGCGCATTCACGACCCATGCCCAGAATTGCGTCCTGGTAAAGAACGCGTTCCGCTGACCGAGCATGTACAGCTGCGGATACCTATCCAGGATACGGGCAGATACGAACTGATCGAAGACTCCAATGACGAGGGGTGGCAGCACCGTGAAGACGACGTTGTACAGAGACAACGTCCAAGACTCGTATGCGATTTGCCCTGAGAAGTTGTTGAAGAACGAGTACTACGTAGTCGTGGTCAGCTTCAAGCGAAACATCACAAGACGATGGCAGCGGAACATACCCAGAATTGTGTCATGTACAGCACGATGTTTTTGTAGAAGGAGTCTGGAGCAAAGACAAGGTGAGACGGAAATCATGACGAGTAGTGAACATGCCACTGACACAGCAACATCTTGGATAGACGGGTATAGCTCCATGCGCCGTGGACGAGTAGCAGCTTTTTGAGGTACCGGAACTGTGAAATCGCGACATCGGCCGCTCGAGCTGCTTGCAGACCCTATCAAAGCGGTCAAGAATAGGTGTGGCAACTTACGCGGGCCGTGCTCACCTCGACACCAGATATGCCGACACCGACATGCGCAGCTTGAATCATACTGACATCGTTCGCACCATCTCCGATGGCGAGCAGTATAGACTTCTGGTTCTTCTTCACGAGCTTGACAACGAGAGCCTTCTGCAGCGGTGACACGCGACCTACACGGTTCTAATATGAAGGTCGATCCAGAAGACCAAAGGCTCTACCACTTACAGCAGATAACCGCTTTACAGAGAATGGCCAGTTCCAGGAAGGTCTTTGAAATCTCCTTTTCCAACGCGAACGTGAGGCTCTTGCCGTCTGAATAGATGCTCTAAAATGAGTCGCAGTCGAGGACCGCAGCGATCGACGCACCAATAACAAGAGCCAGATCTTCCTGGTCGCCGGCGTTCCGCTGACTTTTGATCGCGTTGAGTCGTTTTGTAATGAACTCTTCCGTGTCATGAGCCGTTTCCTCGTTGACGATGACCTACTACTGAGTTAGTTTCATCCGCAAACGTTAGCCAGGTAGTCCTACCAGATTCATAGACTCCGAGATGAGCCGACAAGACATGCCGATGTTGATCGCTGTCTCTTGCCTATCACCGGTAAGGACCCAAACCTATAGATTACCTCGTTCAGTACAACAGCGCCTCGGGATTCGGAAAACGAGGAAATCACCTTTATACCAGCCATCTGGAGAGTATGAATAGTGTCGGGCACACCCTCCTGCAGCTTGTCCTCAATAGCCGTAGCGCCAAGCAGGAACATGTCTCGCTCGATGAGCTCCGCGGCCTTGTCGAGCGCTTCACCTCGCCCATTGATAGTCGCAGCTGCCTGGTCGTAGATCGCTGACCATTGGCGGTACTCCGCGTCCGGAATGTCACGCGAAGCTATGCACAGTGTCCGAAGGCCGTCCGTCGCATAATCCTGGGTGCAACGACGTGAGTAGTTTTCGACCAGTCAACCCATGCGGCTTACCTCTAAGTGAAGCAGGGTCTTCTCGGTGAAAGGCTGGTTCTCGCTAAGTCGCTCAAGGATGACAGTGTCCGCGCCTTTACAGAACAGCTTGATCTTCCCGTCGGGACAACGGACCACCGTCGACATGCGCTTTCGTGTGGAGTTGAACTCGCAAACGTTGAGAATCTCATATTCCAAGGATTGCCCGTGGACGTTCACGAAGACCGACTTCGGTTTCCGTGTCTGCAAGGCCAACGCTAAACACGAAAGGCTTCCTTATAAGCATATTCACTCACGTGGAACTGGTAACCAAGCAATTCGGCGCCGGCGACGAGGGCGGCCTCATCTGGACTGCTAGCTTGGTAGTGCATCTTCCCATCGCGCAGCTCGGGGATAACCGTGTGACACACCGCCAATAGCGTCAGAAATTCGTTGGCCACTTCGCGCTCACCGCCTGCTCCGGCATCTCCAGCGACGTCGACGAACGGGTTCTGAGAGCCGCTGACGAGCGCGCGGAGGTCGTCGAACGATCGCCATGCTTCCTTGTCATCGTCACCGTCACCACGGTGGCTTTCGTCCACGACGTCCGCGTACGCGACACCGCCGATGCTACAGAATCGGAACTCCATCTCGTTGCGAGTGAGCGTCCCCGTCTTGTCGCTGAAGACATACTCGATTTGTCCGAGCTCTTCTACGAGGGAAGACGTCCGGCAGAGCGCTGGAGTGTCGGTCTTCGCGTAGTACATGTCTAGATCCGAATTGATGAGCTGCGCCTGTTGGAACTTCACGACCTCCATCGTGACAATCAGAGAGATGGGGATCAGGTTGTTGTAAAGGATGATGAACGTGAGGATATCTGAAGCACTGTAAGCAAAGGAGGAATGGCAAGTACGCAACATGCAGACCTTCGATGAACTCCTTCGCTGTAACAATCAGTTAGCGAAGATGAATACGTTATAGTTGACACGTTCATACCTCGACCTGTGATTGTCGCCTGCTCGAGCAGATACCATTGTTGGCTAGAGAAGAACCACTGTTGTGGGATAAGTGGATTACCTGCGGATCGCTTTGGACCAGACTTACCGAGCGGATACTACTCCCAATGGTTGACCCAATGGAAAGCGCGAGGAGGAAAATGAACAGGAATACGATGTGAACATTGACCTGACGCTCCACGGCTGTCCTC